CCAGGTGACTAACATACCACACTGGACCTGTCCACTTGTCCAGGACTTCACTGGTGAGTTTCATAGCTGCACCTCTTTCGACCATGTCATGGATTTGGGTTGCATAAGCGATTTTCCATTCTGGCTCTTTGCTCAGCTGCTTTTCCATCCTTAAGAAACAAGCCTGAATTGCCCTTTTGTTGTTAGGGAGGGAGGCGGGATCTTCAGTCCAAGGATACTTTGCATCCCAATGTGGAGATGGTGTGTGAGCATCTTTCTCCATGTATGTGAGCCCTCCTTTAATGATCTCATACTCTTTCTCCTCAGCCAAGGTCATGTCTCTTCCTCCTGGCGAACAATATCCGCATCGACAACCTCCACATCTTGGCTCGCATGCGGCTCCGATGCTGTCCCAGTGCCACCACTCAAGGAACTCACGGTTACTGGTAGATGTAAATCTGGACAGAGACGCATCTTCCTGCAATTGCCAAGCTGGCTTGGTTGCTGGAACTGTAATTTCTTGATATTTGACAGCAGCAGTTCGCAAAGAGCGAGCAAAGTGGGCTCTTGATTCATATGCTGTCACCTCTACTTCTTCAAACAAATCAGGATGAGCTCCGCCCACTGTTTTTCCCAATGGGCCTTCCCACAAAACAAGGTCTCCAATGACTCTAACTCTTTGGGGTGCAAGTCTTCCCTCTCGATGGCTTATGAGAAGCTCAACTTCCGCTGGTCTTTTCAGATCTTCGAGCTGGACGTCTGGGAAGAATCTTTTCAACTTTTCAGGCTGAATTGCTTGATAAACTTTTGCAATTTCATCCAAGCCATAGCAGACTAGTTGATGTGCTCTTTCAGTCCCCTTTTGAGTTTTGACTCTGACTTTTAGGAGGTACCTTTTTGTTATAACGTCCATGGTCATTCCACCAACTCCATGTACAACCAGGGTTATTTCTTCACCCCTGAGGCCCAATCTTTCCGCAGCTCTGTGAGTTATGTAATTGGTGTCTGATGCTAGGTCAATGAGGGTGCCTATCTTCTGACCTGCATTGGCCGTTACTTGCATCAGCATCATAATCACCGGAAGTTCAACCAGCTCATTCCTCTTCAGTAATTCAGACTGGCCTGCAGCTTTGAGTGTAACTGAAGATTTGTTTGTGAATGCCTTTCTGCACTGATCTGCTAGTTCAGGGGAAAGTAGTGATAAGAAATCTTCCTGTTCTTCTGTGAACTTTCCTTTTCCTCCATATTTTCCAACTGTGCCCCCTTGTCCTTTGGTTTCAGCTTTTGGACACAGGAAATAATGGTGGTCTGGCCCAGTTTCTCCCCTTTTACAGTACGTGTTTTTGCATAGGAAATTGTCTTTGCAGTATCTGTCATCATCATGGTATCCTAAGCATTTATTGCATGCTCCCAGCTTCTTCAAAACAGACTTCTTTTCAGATAGCTTCAAAGCTTTAAATTTCTTGCAGAAGAATATTTTGTTGCTGTGCCCATAATCACCACAGACACCACAACCCTTGTCAACTTCTTTTGTTGTAGCTCTGGCTGATGTAGACCTTCTTTCATGCCTTTTCTCAGACTTGTCCACCTTATCCACACTTCTCAGTTGTTCAAGTCTTTCCAATATCTCTTCTTGGTTCTTCAGGAACTTCAAGAGCGTGTCAAAGTGAGTATCTGCTGTGACATTGTTTTTAGGGTTAACTAGAAATGTTAGCCAGTCTCTTTTTATGAAGTCAGGTAACTTGCTTTCAATGGACTTAATGACTAACGGATTTTTTATGGCTCCAATGTTCCCCAGCTCTGTCAGATCTGCCAGGGCTTTCTCTACAGATTGAATCAGGTCAATGACTCTCCTCGGCTGGTTCCCCTTCACCTGCGGCATTTTGTCTAATTCTTCAAGGATTTCAACTGTAATGGTAGACTTGTTGCCGTATCTATTTTCCAGGACTCTGAACATATCATCTGCAGTTGTATAAGTTGACAGTCTCAGCTCCTTCACGATGGTCTCACTTACACTCTCCAGGAGCTGAATCTTGAGCACCTCAGGTGAGCCAGTGGGCTCTCCCTGCCTTTGCAGGCTCTCCCAGTCTTTTTTCCACCTGTAGAACTCTCTCATATTTCCCTGGAAGACAGGAAGGGTAGTTGGTTTTATCTTCACAACAGGTGGTAATGGTTGGATAGGTTTACCGTTCGTGCCTTGATCAGCTAGCCTCCTTAATATGGCAAATTCAGCTTTTCTCATTTTTAGCCTGCAGTGGGCTGCTCTCAGTCCTTTCAGTCTCCCATTCATTTCATCTCTAGATGAGTCAGGAATCCACCTCTCCCACACAGACATAGTTGAGATGACTGCACTAACCTTCTCACCTAATAAAGTGAGGTGAACCTCATAGCCCTCCAAATTGTCACTTTTGACTTGCATATTTTCAGCTTCATCAACTACTTCCTCTGCTTCATGGATTGATGTTTTAAGCTCCCTTTCTCCATATCTTCCCCACAGGTTAGCTTGTACAGCGGCAGTAACCTCCTTCATTTTATTCTCTGCATCTTTTAAAGTCATTTGAATGTCGGTCTGTTGCTGCTTATCAAGTTCTGCTTCTTCATCCACTGCCTTGACATCAGCCTCCAGTCCAATCCTGTAGTCATCATTAGAGTCAAGAACTGACCTGAACCGGTCTGAAAGTTTTCCAAATTCCTCTTCTAATTCGGTTTTCAGCATGATGTCTGCTCCTCTTGAAATATAGTTGGCTAGTCTGGTGAAGCTGCTTTTAGCGCTGGTCCTCTCCTGCTTCAGCAGTTTGACCGTCTTCCCCAAGACCTCTTCTGCCATCTTTATTTTCTCTTGCGTCCACAGCTTTTCTGGTTTGAAGCCCTTTATCTCCTTTTCCAGGGTGCTCTGTGGTTATCAACTGTCAAGCTCCACACTAGTTTCACTCTAAAGGGACACTTTGGGACAACTCCATCACATTCCAACAATTTTTATTATGTCAGTTCAGTGAACATTAGGTTGATAACCTTCAAAGAACAGAGATAAGTGTTAGATGTCACATCATTTATATAAAATACAATAAACAAAGAACTTCTAAACTAAATCTTCCCACACTAACAGTGTAAACAATTAAATTAAAGCATGACTTCAAAGGTCACCCAAAACAACTTCATATCATAAATAAAACAATAGTTACCAACCATTGGCGTCTTTAGAGTCAACTCATTGTTAGAGCTTGCTGTGCTGTTCCTGTTTGACTAAGGACTGAGAGCCACCACCCTGCATAGGTGTTTTTTATCACCAATCAGTCGCCATTTTGTTGGTGCATTCTGGGAGATGTAGTTCTCAGTGGTGGTGGACCAGTTAGACCTCCATTTACTCAACTTTAACCCAACAATGGACATGTTTTCAATATAATTTCTTCTAGGAGGTTATAGTTTGACACATCTTCATCTGGGCACCTTTACTCATGTGGATCATTTTCCTGTTTGGTACAAGCCAAATGAACATGTAATGAGGTTCTTAGCAGTGTGATTATTTTGATCTGGATTTTACTGTTAAGGAGATTGTTGGATTGGGCAACATGATTTGTCCAGCTGGCAGTCACAACACATTGTGTTTCCTTTTACAAATCAAATGGACATCTGGTTATAGCTTCACTTTCTATCTTTTTTCATTATTCTGTAGTTTATCCTAGTGGTTCCCAAACCTTTCAGCTTCAGACCCACAAAATAGCAATTATCAAGACATGCAACCCCCCCAGTTATCTCAGATTTGACAACAACAACATAACAACCTTAAAAAGCTAAATAATTCAGGGTTAAACGAATCCTGCTTCAGCTCATGTTCACTCATAAACATTTATGACAATTTAGTTGAGGGTTTGTAACAATTATGCAAGAAATATAACTTCAGCCATTGTTTTTCATTTTTATTTAGATTTCTGGAAATCATCTTAAGACCCGCTGTGTTGGTGACCCACAGTGGGGTCCCGACCCCTGATTTGGGAACCACTTAGGCTCACAGAAAATTGTATTATTATTATTATTGTTGTTGTTGTTGTTGTTAATATTATTATTGTTGTTAATATTATTACAGAGTAATAACGTATAGTGATACTACTTTATCCAGACATTATGTCAGCTGCAGATATTAGATAAACTCCTGCAACGGTAGCTGCTGTCTGAGGACAACAACACTGACAGCTCCCAGTCCCACCACTGCAGCAGGACTGGTTGACTGGTTTCCTCCAATAGATTTGAAGTGAGCGCTCCGGCCGACAATAGAGGGCCTGGAAGTGGGAGGATCAGCTCGGCAGCGATCCTTCTGGCTTTGTTACGCCTGGGAAGCCATTTTGGAAACAGGCTTGTTGTGCTGCAGCAGTAACAGTCCCTTACTACTTGTAAACTTTCTAGCATAGACCCAGACCAGTAAAGCCCGCAGTGTGCAGCTCTGCGGACCCGCAGTCTGATTAGCGTTTAGTGGTCCGAGCGGTGGGCTGCTGGCGGGACCTGGCGCATCTTCAGCGGATTTATTTCCTCTGGATTTTAAACAATAATAACAACATCATCCATGGCTTCTGAAGTGGCTGGCAAGTTTTCACACTGACGTGATCGCGTTGCAGCCGTAGTGAATATTTGGGGTTTAATCTGATTTATTTTGGTCTTGCTGCGCTCCTTTACCGACTAATGTTTTGACAGCGAGCGCAATCGTAGGCCTCAGAATTATCTGACTGTATTTTATTAATGTTTGGTTTTAAACGGCTACATACGTTTTCTATCATAATTCCAGGGTAATGGGCGTGTGTGATTTATGGGACGTGTTAAACGAGCGTGTAGCGTAACAGATACGGGTTGTCCGTCGTTGCCTCTGCGCAGTTTCATCTCCAAATTTAGCCCAGAGCAACGCCAGACCGTTACGAGGCTCCTACATGCCATCCCGTGTGACGGTGTGTTGTTGTGATGACCGTAAACCTGTTTGCTTTTGATCGGCGTCAGTCTGCTTGGACGGTAAGTGGCCCTGTCTCAGGACTCAGCTGTTTGCACGTCGCAGGTTTGCGTAAAGGAGGCAGCAACGTCTGAAAATGGGACGCATGCTAACTATAGTCAGTGTCTTTGCACACTGTTATTGTTTAGTTTGTCTCTCCACAATGACATCAGCTGAGTTATTGCGATGTCTGATTCATTGCACAAACTGCACGTGGAAGGAAAAGCCTAATCCTGTCTGAATTATGGTCCCCTTGGCTTTTGGATATTTATTTCCCTTTATCCCTCCTTTTCAGATTGAAGACTTGTGAGAGGATTTAACTGAGATTATGAGTAGGGATTTTGATGGATTTTCTTCATTTTAAAAGTCATTAATTTATTGTGCTGCTACTCATTTAATTTATTTGCAAAACTGCAGATTATAAAGTGTTGAATGCCGCTTCCTATAAGTATGTAAGTGTATTATTTTATTGTCTAGAGCAAGACGTGTGTGAAGTTTAACTGTGAACACGCAGCAAGAGTTTACTTTGGCACTAATTGTGAATTTCTTTGGGCCAGTACAGATTTTTCATCCGTTTTTATCCTGCTGATACAGTTTTATCTCCATGAACTAAAATGAACAGAATAAATATCTTGACATTTATGATTCTGGAGGAAGAAACTTCCACATTGAAGTTATAACTCTTCTTGCTTATGAAACTTAGGACACAGCAAAGGTGCATTCAAGTGCTAAAAAACAAGACATGCAGACATAGTCAGAGTTCACAGTTCAGAATTAATTGAAAACAGTGGATGTTGATTTTATTTAAATATCCTGTTTGAACAAAGTACAGTTTGAAGAAATTAGTCATATTTGCAATCCAAATGTGAATTTCTGCTTCCAACATTTCCTGCATGTCCTTTTTCATTCGCTATGTTTCCTGTTTCAATTTCTTTCACATGTATTTCCATGAAAACTTTACAATTTTCACGAAACTTTTCAGTGTGAGCTAATATCACACCTGCATTATGAGAATCAGGATGTTATGTGCAAAAATGATTTGTTATGAGATTGTCATATTTGCATTAGCTTTAGTTTGGCACACCATGATGGTATGAGGCCAACAGTAATATAGTATTTGCAAAGGCCGTTCCCCATAAAGTTGTTTTCTGTGTGAGAGGCTCAGCCCCCTCAGGACAGCTGCTTCCCGCCCATTAGTTCAGAATCTGCCCCGCCCCTCTGCTGTTTCACTGCTTTCATAACACCAAGCTCACTCGAGCTGCTGCTGTCGGACTGGCTGTCCCGGTGCTTAAAGACTGCTTAAACACAAGGAGGACCGTCCTGTCTCTGCTGGCCTTTTCTCTCTGCTGAAGCAGACCACCAGAGGAGAGGACAGGTTATTCATTACATCGTCACTGGTGTCCGAGAGTTCCGTCAGCCAGAGCCAGCATGGAGGAAGAGGTCGGCCAACTCTCCCACACAGTAGCTTTGTTGTGTTTATGAGGAAAAGGAAAGGGCAGATTCTCAGGCTGAATTGTGTTTTGTGTAGCTGGTGGTGGTGTTTGCTGACAGACGACGATGTGCATGGTCTGCGTTTGTTGAGAGGCGGGAAACTTGTCGATGAACTGTTTTAAGGTCTAGTTGAAGTTCTTAATGTACTGATAAATGTGGCAGAACCTTAGCAGGAAGGTGCACCCTCAAAGAGACAGACCGAACAAAGCAGTGCATGCATTTCTATTTTATTTTATATTTTTCAGTGTGTTTAAACTTTAGTTTGTCCTTGTTATGCTACTCCTGACATGTCAGCTGTGACTAAAGGAGTCCTATGCCTTCTTACATCCTCACTTTTTCAGTCTAAACAAAGAAGAATGACCATGGATTTTTCCCAGCTGCACACATATACGCCTCCACAGTGTGCTCCAGAGAACACCGGCTATACTTACTCTCTCAGGTGAGACCTTGGTGCTGCGCTGCGGCACCAAACATTCAGGTTGTGGCATTAATGTAGCTAAACATCTGCCATTTGTGACTCAAGACGGCTCTGAAAATAACTCAAAATGAAGATGAACTGTTCCAATAACACGTTTAAGACTTTTGAAGGGGAGTTTCTGCCTGCATCAAACCCAAACAGTAGATGTCATGACCGAGTGATTGTGCATATTGCATTTGTGATTTATAAGTGTGTGGTTTGCATTTATAGACATAACTTTTAGACACAGATGAATAAGCTTAGGTTGTTTTTAGATTTTCCCAGGCAACCCTGGTCTTCAAGGGCAGCATGTTTTAGAGGGGTTTCTGCTTCAACAAGCATGTTAATCAGTAGCAGAATGACAGGCTTCTGCAGAGCTTGATGACACGCTGAACAGGTAATACAACCATTGAATCAAGTGTGTTTGAGCAGAGAAACGGCTAAAACAAACTGGAAATGGGCCCTTGGGGACCAGGGGTGGACTCCCCTTGCTTTGCATTTAAAGGAAATACATTTTTTAAACTTTTGTTTCATAACTTGTGGTTGCCACTAGCTGATCTCACAGTTCTGTTAAATTGTGAATTTCAGGGCTTTTACACAGAGTTAAAACAAACCTTATATTCCAGTTTCTCTACATATCCTAACTTTTCCGACTGCACTTAGTTTCCATACGTTCCTTATTGAGTTACTCTTCATCCCACCTTGTGCTGAAGGTGTGGTCACCACCTCACCAGGAACGTCTGTGCTTGTGAAGGAATATTGTCTTCAGAGCTGTCACTTTAATTGCCAGCAGCCATGAGAACCACAGACAGGTATTTGGGTGTGTAAGTCAGGAGCTGAAGCAGTAACTCATGTGCTGCTCGTTTTCTGACTTTAAGGAGTAGAAGAGTTGATGTTCAGATACAGAAGGACCCCAATGGCTTTAGGGAAAGTCTGAGAGTGTCTCGTAAAAAAAAATCGAGTTTCAACAAAGGTCTCATTGGGTTTAGCGCCTTGTAGAAGCGTGCAGTCTTCAGTGGTACTTTCTGCTCCTTCCTACTGAACAATGTGGACTGTTGTGTGTTTGGGACAGTTGGTGGAGCAGTTGGATCCAGTGTTTTATGACTCTGCTCTGCTGCTAAACGGTGGTGCATTGATGCACCTTGACTGCATACCTTTCAGGTGTTTTTCTGTTGAAAGTTCAGCTTCATGTTTAATTAGGACCCATTTCAGGCTACTTACAGAGGGTGTACTCTAGCAGAGGCAGTCCTGTGAGTCAGCCTGTGTGGACCAAATAAAAGTAAACTGTGCATAAGCTTGATCAGCAGCCTCGCTGGAATCTGCCAGGTAGACTAACGGTCTGGAATAAGCTAATCGTGTTCCATTGAATGCAGTCAGCTGAGAAGCTATTAATGAACCTCAGTTACAACTGGGTCCCTGATCCCAGGATTAGGCCTCTTGGCTAGTTGGGACATTCTTTTTTCATTTTCTAAAATAGGTATGTCAGACCAGCTTCCCTGTGAAACAAACCTAGGATAGATCATAAAAGGGACATAATGACCGTATCACATGATACTTGTTCAAAGCTGCAGCTAAACCACTTCAGATTTTGGATGTGTGTCTGAGGAGTGGGTGTGCATGTAGAAGAGAGAGCTGCAGAAACCGGCAGGGTCAGATGACAGAAACGGTTGGTCCATCTGCTGTCAAAACTCAAAAAAGCAGTGACAAGGTTTGTGGCACTGTGTTGCTCAAGAAGAAGAGGCCTCCTGTTGTGCTCTGGAGGGGGTGCTACACTTGGCCCACCAACCTTGTTATTGAAATCCTAAATGCTGCAGGGGAAACACTATCACCGTTGCCCTAGTAGAGACTGGTGAGTCGTTCTGAAACAAATGTAAACAGAAAAATTAGAAGCGATGCAATTATTCTTCCCTCTATCAAGCTCTCAAATTATTACACACACCACAACGCTGCGAAAACCTCAAGCCACAAGGTATCTTTTTGTTTGTTAGAAAATCGTTAGTTGTATGATGTTTATTGTGGCTGAGAAGGAAACTGTTACCACCTCCAGAAAAACTGGCTGGCAACACCCATTTACCACAGAAATCAGGTGTGTGTGTGTGTGTGTGTGTGTGTGTGTGTGTGTGTGTGTGTGTGTGTGTGTGTGTGTTGCTTCACACTGATACAGCCTTCATATTTTAAGAAGGTGGAATTGGGTCAGAGACCACAAGGCTGCTGGGTGTCTGTCTTGTACTTTTTCCATCGTTATTTGGGACAGTAGTGTGATGAGGGATTTATTTAGTTTTGGGGTGTTACATTTTTTTTTTCCCAATACAAAAAATTATATATTTTGTCCAGAAATCTTTAACTTATGAAAAACTAATATCCATAGGAAATATTATCTCTGTCTCTCTTGATCTTTTCCATCTAAAGCTGGTGTTGTAGTTGTGGGACAGCTGCGGTGCACCCTGCCCTCACAACCGTCTTCACACGTGCTCTGAGTGTGCTTCAGTTGCCAGCGACTGACAGCAGCTGGATTTTGGAGAGATGTTGTCTTTAGTGCTGTTGTTGATCCTTTCCTAAGACCCACATTTCTGTAACATTTGAAGCTAAAATCATTTGAACTAAATTCCTCTTTTAATCCATCAAAGATGACAAGTCTTGCTTCTTTCTGGTAAATCTGAACTAGAATGTGTTGCATGTTTCTCTAGTTGTGCCGAGCTAGAAGGCAGGCTAGTGTGGTCTCCATGGAAACTACAGCAAAATATGGCTTTAGCATGACGCTGGTTACAGCCAACGGCCAACAGGAAGTTCTGTCAGTGGGAGGGAAAAGGAGGCAGGGCGGGAATGATCCTAATCACAACTCCAGATCTTTTCTACCTGAGTTGGTTGGATAGATCTCTAAAGTCGGGGGGGGGGGGGGGGGGGGGGGGGCAGGAAGGAAGTAGGTGTTTGTCCTATGTTAAAGACTGCCTGTAAACTAATATTTGCAGCAATGTCAGCATGGACGTAGATAGGACTGATTCATCCAGATCACAGCATAGCATCTCCCTCTGAAATATTTGGCTTTTGGCACAGCTCTAACTCAAGTCTGGGTTTATGAAATTCCCTCGTAACACAGGACGATGTTGCAAACGGGACTAAAACTTCAAGCACTCTAAACTATTCACAGGTGTGTTTAAAACTATTATCTAATGTTTCATGTTGGACGCATGCACTGCATGTTTCCTGCAGAAACCTAAATGTGATATTTTATTCAGTAACGTTGGTGGATTCAGCATTTTAATGCAACAATTTCCCTGTCGTGTTTACTTTTGCATTAAAAACTTTCTGGCAAGTGTTTGGCAAAACTTTGGTAACCCCACTTGAGGTTTTGATTCAGAGATTTACAATCCACATGGTTTCTATAATCTCGTGCGTGTTTGTGTGTGTGTTTGTGTGCATGCGTGCGTGCGCGTGTTACAAATGCAAACCAGAGTTTATGAGGCAAGTAGATTATATAACTGATAGGGATAGATGGGTATTGAATTCAGTACTTTTTAAGGCACCGACTGAATTCCATAGTACTGACTGAGTACCGATTCACGTCATATAAAACGATGCCTTGTTTTGGTACTCGTGCCACGCGCCTGCGCAAGAGTGTAACGTCTTCAGTCACTGTGGGCGAGCTGTAAACAAAGCAGCATGGCAGAGAGGAAGCGTTCTGAAGTTTGGGTCCACTTTACTAAATGCGATGGGCTGTTGGGTGATGATGAAACCAGCGACAACGATCTGAGTATGAGACATCTTAATCTGCTCCAGCAGCAAAATAAACTGTTTAAGATAATGTTAGCTTGATAGTTTAGTTTTTGTTTACATAGCTAATGGTGCGTTCGCTTTCTCCTTGGAAATTCCAGCTTGTGAGTAGGAAAAATAAACAGTTTGAAAATGAACGGCAAAAGGAATGATAATACACTGTAAATTTAGTTCACAGCAAAGATGTTTGCTTCAGTGTGATTTGCATTTTATAAAACTACAAGGACCCACCATCACACATAGGGGTGTAACGGTTCACGGTGGGGAGGGGGGGGGATGTTGAACCGTTTCGGTTTGGTCCTTGCGTACCCTTGCGGTTCATTTTCCATTAAATAACGCATTTTTATTTGCGTGATTTAAGCGGATAAAAGTTCATAGGCGAGTTTCTGCACAGACGCTGTATTGGGTGAGGCGTGATGGCTGCATGCGCCTGATCTCTGTTTAAGAAATGTAATCTGCAAATTCTGATCAACTCCTTTAAGAGCGGATCAAACCAGCTGGGTGTCACTGCTCCTGGAGCCCGTAGAGACGCTGAACCTAGCGACGCTTCGCCCCCTCCCTTCCTTCACCCCGGTTTCAAGCCAGTTTCACACTGCAAGCATCAGCGAAACGGAATGGCAGCGAAGCGGCACCGCTTCAAATAGAATGCAATTATAGTCTATGGAGTGTTTCAAACCAGCCGCGACGCAACATTTTCCAGGCGCATCCCAGAAGCGGCATGCCGCGCCGCTAAAGATAAGATCGGTTTCTATTTTTTCCGCGAGCCGCTTCTGGTACACGTCGATTTCCGCAGTTCACATTAGGGCTGCAACTAACGATTATTTTCATAATCGATTAATCTGTCGATTATTTTTTCGATTAATCGATTAATCGGTTCATTATTGTTTAGCTATTTAACCTATACAAGTGATGGATGCATTTCAGTTAAGAAAAAAAATATAAGAAAAGTGTGCAGTTGACTGCAATCTATTTTATTGCACATGAACAGTCAGCAGTATAAAATGAGCTAAACAGTGCAAAATATCAGTCCAGAATAATTTTTTAGCATTAGCTGGAAGCCTGCTCCTTCCACCATGGGTAGTGGCCTCATGTCTTTTACCAGCATGTTTAGAATAGAGTTTGTAAGTGGTATGAATTGCTGGGGGGTGAGTGTCTTGTTCCCCATGTAGTTGTCCATCGTTGCTTGTTTTTTTCTGCATAAGAAACACAAA